CTCGCTCTACATAAAAGTAATATAAATTAAGAAAATAACATATTTGAAAAAATATATATATTAATGAAAGCGCCATTTCTAGTAGTATTAGTGATGTTTTTCTTAACACAAGAAAAGCATTGTGATGCATTTCTGCCTCTTTACTAATGAGAAAATAAAAACTGAGAAGAATTGTGACTGGCTTCTTAAAACAGTGAAGTAAATAAGCTTTTCAGCCAGAATAAACAACTAAGTGAGGTTTGCTTATGAAATTCTCTTTATATCTTTGTAGCATACGTACAGAGATATCTTCCAAGGACTGAGTCTCTTTTGAATTCTCTTGTCAGTTCACATTTCCTCCTTTGAATTCCATTGTCAATCCAGGTTTCTGTCTGGTCAACACTGTGGCCATCACCTTCCATACTCTACTATGCTTCCCAGTTAGCAAGAGGTAAAGCATAAGGAGAGGTGAACGAACAAAATGGGAACGTGAAGGGAAATGGCAGTTCTCTGGGAACACAGGGAACTTTGGAAAAGCTTGTGAACTGGAGAGCAGCATTCTTAGGAAAAAAGATTAAGTGTCCAACTACCTCCACCTCACATTCTTAGAACACAAAGTTAGTGCACTATCTGTTACTTGAGTCAGAAAGGAATCAATACTCATCCATGTTACACCTGTTGTTATACACTCAAATGTGCCCACCTTGGGAGATAAATGTACAGCCTGGCAGAGGGGTTCACAGACTTTAAGATATATTCCCAGAAAGACACTACAAATCAGCCTGAATGTCTTTACAGCTGAGTCACCTTCGCTGCCCCTGGAGTTACCAAAAGTGTGTAATTAAAAAGAAAAAAAAAAACCCTCCTCTGCCTATTACTGTTCTCATATTTTTCTAGGTTAATGATTTTCATATAAAATTTTAATTTATTTAATTTCAATAAACGGTTTTAATAGTGATGATCACCAGGAAAGCTTAGGAAATGATGAATGGTGGTGAAATCCTATAAAGGAAAGATAGTGTGTTTTGTTGTTTTCCATTTTTCATAAAAACAAAATAAAACAAATCTCTAAATATCTAAAATTTATATTAATTTTTTAAAGTTTAGTCATGCAAAATCAGGAGTCAATACATGTGTCTGTTGTATTATGTCTGATCAAAATCTGGAAATATAAGTAATATTAAAATAAATTTGTACTACAGAGAATGTAGTCAATAAAGTAGAAATTCTGTATTGTTCACTTATTATAAAATTTAGTTGATTCAATTATTCTAATTAAAAGTTTGATAAATCAATTTTAACAGTTTGATATTAATGCAAAATAACCTTGAATCAATTATTCAATATTTTGCTACACAAATATGTTAATGTATTATGTTGATAGTATTAATGAATTATTTTATTCTAAAGTAAATTTTACAAGAAATAAAGTAATTTCTATTTTTTAAAATCACATTCTTTTCATTCATTCTTGGAAATTTGTTTCCACAGATGCACACTAGAAAGATGTATGATAGACTGGAAAGGTTTAACACATAACAGAATAGTTGTTCCTGACCAGAAATACCCATAAGTCAAAATAAACAATGACTAAGTCTACAATTTTGATTTTTTAGCATACTGTTAAATGATAAAATGCATATAGCATACACCCATACATTTAGAGAACAATTTGGTTTATTTTAAATAATGTCTTTCCAAATTGAATTTAATTTCCTTATTAAAACCTTTTGTTGTGTCTTAAATGCATTTCACTACAGATGGAAAGGTATAGAACACATTGAATTGAAATAATTAAAACACATCAGTGCCTTCTTCAAAACTTATTCAAAACATCAAAAGCATCATTTAGAAGTATTGCAACTGCATTTTAAACTTTTCAAAGCACAGGAACAAGTTTTATAGAATAACAAAAGCAGTAGAGCCCTTCAGTTCAAAATAGTCTTTGATTTGTCACTTTGAGACTAAACTTCTCTCTGTTTTTAAGTAGATTCTTTTTTAACTTCTTCAAGTTAGTGTGTAACTTAAAGAAATTAAGTGCAAAATGAGATAACAGGATTTTTCTGCTCCCATTTCAAGCTAAAACATACACTCTAAATTATCATTTAGAGTAAGTCAAAGCCATATCACATACCTTTCGGGAATGAATTTCTTTCACATACAATGGAAGTAGAAACTCAGATATACCTTCAAGTCGGATTCCTTTCTTGTTGACTCTCAGATTTCCCATACCATCCTACAAGCAATGAAATATAGTTCATGTTTAGGTTAATTAGAGAATGACTATCTGGCCATAATTTTCTTAGGCCTAAACTGAGAAAACTGAGCTCAAATCCATGATGCTTTAAGAAAAATGAGAGATGGAATCTATTTAAGGAAAGAGCACAGAACTTTGCATACATGTAGAGGGTAATATTTAACGTAAGCAGGAAGGAGGATGCTAAAGGCCTTCGTGGTATGCCTAGTTCTATCAGAGGAAACAGTTCGTAATTTCTTCATGCATTAGCTTAGCTGTATATTAGGTATGATGATCCTTGCTGCCTAACCATTAGAAAAAATTTTCCAGAGAGAGCTAATACTGTGGTTACAAGTATACAGATCATTCTGCATTTTTGAATACTTTTGTTTGTATAACAATTTTAACAGCTGATTCATGATTTATATTAGAGCAATGCTGCTCCAGCAGTAAAAACAAGAGTAAACATGTGTCTTACCTTGAGCAAAAATTGTCTATGATGAGAATAATGTAAATAAAAACTAATGTTGATGAGATAGAATTAAATAAGTTAAATTAGAACAGCATTATTGGTAGTTAAAGAAAATAAATTTTATGTGATAAAAAGTCACTATGATAAAGACCTTGCAAATGTGAAAAAATATCAACACCTTTGTAACATTCGGGAATGAGCTTGCCTTTGTTTTTGACTAATGTATAGATTTCCTACTTGGGAATATTTGGAGAAGAAACATCTGGGAATTTCTATCTGGCATAAAGGAAAGGAAGTTATGATTGCAGAGCCAGGGACGGTCTCCTGAAGTTAGGTTCTGAAAGAAGAAATGTAAGAACTATTTAAATAGCTCACTGGCTTGACATGATTGGTGTTAGGCTTCAAGCTGGGTAATCTGGCAGAATTCCTGTACAGGCCTGAAAGTCAGCAACAACACAGGATTTAGTGATAAGTAGTAATGTGGTGGAAGAAAGGTTTCAGACTTGCTGAATAATTTCATCTAGTGACACCAAAAGAGTAATAGCTACCATTTATTCAAAGTTTCACAACTGCTAAGTAATTAAGGGATCAGTTATGTTTTAAATAAGAATAGTGACATTTGTAGGTAAATAATCAGGTGAAATTTAACTTCAGACTGTCTTGCTTTGTAGCACTTTCTAATTCATAAATGGGCACATCTGCAGAAAACAGAGTGTAATGTCATATTTGATTAAGGCATATTTGAATCTATCATGAGGATAACAAGCAAGTTCCACGTGAAAACATTTGTAAATGCAGGAAGAAATTCTCAGATATTGGTTTGTTCTGCAGACTGGGGAAAAGGTATTTTATACATTCCGAGAAGTTTTCTGTGTTTTTTTTTTCCTTACTTTTATATGTGTGTTTGGTATGTGTGGATTTGTGTAGGCATGAACTCATTTGTGTATGTACATGTGTGTGCGAGTGTGGAAGCCTGAGATTGACACTGTCTTCCTCCATAGCTCTCCATTGAGGAAGATCTCTCTCCTCACTCAATCCAGAGTTCACAGCATCTGAGCTGTGTAGAATTTGCCTCAGGAATCCTTTTGTCTGCCTCCAGAGTGCTGTAATAACGGGGCTGTCACTCAGACCCCAGTTTTATGTCAGTTCCAGGGCTTCAAATTACCCCTGTGCAACACATATTACTTCCACTGAGCCATTTTTCCAGCCCCCACAGAAGGGTTAATCATTATAAAACTGAAGTCAAGAGGCCATGGTAATCGAAACTTCTATACTTTTTACTCCCGTAGAGGAAACTGATGAGATTCTAATGTGATGTTGGTAGCCATGAAAACAATTCTTATAAAGAATGGTTGGAGGAAGGAAATATGAATGAGAGAAAAATTGCAATTATGAATTGGGAGAAAAATTGAGATTACAAAGTACAGTCTTCAGTGTTCCCAGGGAAGAAGCAACACTAGTTTCTAGCTGAATTAAACTGGGAAGCTCAAAAAGGAATTATTTCCTTGAAATAAGTATAAAACATAAACCTTATTGCTCACATGTTAGTAATGAAACCAGCTGAAAATAAGTAAATTTACAATTTCAATTGGCAGTGAAGAATTATTCTTATGATAAATCAATATATTTATTATATACTTCTAGTTTAACTGAAGCAAGAGATATTTTACAGAAGGTTTGTAGCGTATACATTCACTTTAAAAAATGAAAAGTATCACATGTGGATATTAAATTGGAGGGTTCTCTTATATGGATTGTAATTAATGTGACCTTGTGAAATTACACCTCTTTATGAAGAAGAAACAGAGTTACCAGGGCTAGTCAAAATGAAGACTTACTAGGTAGAGATATGAAAGAAATAGGATGTGGTACGTTGAAGTATTAAAAAATAAATAGAAGAATATGTTTCCTCACAGGTTCCAATTTCCCTTAATTTAAAAAATGACAGCATTATTTTTTTTCTCGCCGGATTGCAAAAGACAAATGGCAAAGTAGGGCTGTAAAAAGTAGTAGGGTAAAGCCGGGCATAGTGGCGCACGCCTTTAATTCCAGCACTTGGGAGGCAGAGGCAGGCATATCTTTGTGAGTTCGAGGCCAGCCTGGTCTACATAGTGAGTTCCAAAACAGCTGGGGCTACAAGGAGACCCTGTCTCAAAAAAGAAAAAAAAAAGAAAAGTCGAAGGATTAAAAAACAGCAAATGGTGATACAAAAATAATCATTTAATAAGCTAAAAAATCTGAGAAATATGAAGAAAAGCCTATCATCAGAAAATGAAGTTTGATTTTTTTTAGGTTCTTGAATGCAAAAGTATCTCTATGTACAATGAGCCTTAAAGATGACCCAAAGCAGTGTTTAAAGAGGTAAGAGGGTAGGCAGAGTTAGCTGGAATCTAGGAACCCAAGATAAGTGGAACATCTAAAATGATGTGTGACTTGAAAAACCACAACTCAGAGGGACTTTCTTGACTGAATCTCACAGTCATTTTCCATATATATTCTCAAATGTTGCCAAAAAAGAAGTTTTATGAAAGGTTTGACACTGTGTCTATGGAAATATCAATGTCCTTTTCAAAGTATCTCAGTGCAGAAGAAACAAATCCTATCACAAATGCAATTCCAATTTTAATAGTAATCTTAAAATGCTTTCATATAAGCATTACAACTTTCATTAGGTGATTAGAAGTAAGAATACTAGGCATCTGAGGTTAAGCATGATACCATTTATATTTGCATATTTAATACTGGAAAATATTTCATCTTAATTTAACCAGGTTTTATTCTATTTTCTATAAAAATATGATTCCATGTGTTTAAATAAATTTCATTTAAATTAGTTAAAGTGGAATTTTCCTGTGTAAATATGAGACAACTCTTACAATACTGAGCTGCACATCCAAGACGTTCCTCCATGTCTCTATTCTTCTATTATTTCTTGTTTGATATGAAAGACAAGAATTTTCAATGATCTTTTATATTATCCACATGGAGCTATAAAATGCTCAAATTTCCATAATGTATCTATGTTCATTATCTAACCTTATACTTAGCGCCATATTACACCTAAAGGTACTTATGAAATGTTAAGATAATCTGATTTCTCTTCTACCAGAGCATCAAGAGGTGATTTTATTCTTATTGTCACTGTAACTTTCTGATTCATTGACTTCTGCATCGAAGTCCCTTCTGATAGGAAACAATTCATGACTTCACTCTTAAGAATGCCATTGCCAAAGCATTAAAAGGTAGCAAGCCAGTGTAACTCTTTTTTGAAACTGCTACGTTGGTTCTGTGACCTCGTGTAAACTTAGTCAAACTATGCTTAAGTTTACGTTCCCTTTTTTGCGTGTGCATACTCTTCCACCTTTTCTTTTTTACTGATATATATATATATATATATTCCTTGTGCATATTAATGGATTTCATAAAGGTATATTTATTCCTGTGTATCCAGTACTGTGACCATATTAATTTCCTATGATCTCCTGTGTATCCCCGTCTCTCCAGCTGCTAGTGCTCTGTCTTTGCACAGATATTGTTTGCACTTCGGTGGCAGGTGTGAGATACGTATGAATATGATTATATAATCCTAAGGGAGAAATGTAATATTTGACTTTCTGAGGCTGGTGTATGTGACTTAATTTGATGACCTGAAGCTGCATTCATTTTCATGAAAAATACCCAATTTTATTATTTTTCTTTAAAAAATACTTATTTCCATTTAATGTGCATGGGTGGTTTTCCTACACATATGTATGCTCACGATATACATGCCTGGTGCTTGTGGAGGCTGGAAAAGGGCATCAGATGGCTTAGAACTACAGTTACAGATGGTTGTTCCTGCCACATGGGTTCTGGGAATTGAATCTGAGTCCTCAGTAACAGCAGCAAGCCCTCTTAACTCTAGCCCCTGAATTGTGATTTTGCCTTGGCACCCACTGATTAAAAATCCACACCATCATTTTAGCCTCTCAATAGACACTGAGGTTCCTCAATTTGTTTAGTCAATGTGTTTTCTATACAATTTATTGTGATTGTTATTTTCGTATTGTTTTGCTTTGAATCTGACATGTCTCCCACAGACTCAAGTTCTGAAAGCTCAGTCTTTAGCTTGTGGCATTATCTTCCAGGCTGTGGAGACGTGAGGAGGTGGGGCCTGGCTGAAAGGTGTTGATGACTGGGGCAGGTCTTTGAAGGTTATACATGCCAGGGCTTCCAGTATGAGCCATGTGACTAGCCCCAGCATCCGCATCCACTGACTACCGTGGACAAAGTGTCTCCCGCCATGTACCTTCACAGACACAAGGGACAGTTTCCCTTTGAAACTATGGGCCAAAATAAACCGTTCCACCCTTGCATCTGTCAGGTATTTGGTCACAGGGTCACAAAAGAAACTAACACGCATATTTAGAGAGACTGTGAAAATCTCTTCCCTGTGGCTGGTTTAGAGGTTTAGAGTAACTTTCAAGACCCTTTAAATGCTTCATGCGAAATCATTTCTTTCAGAATAGCCCTTTTTTTTTTTTTTTCT